TAACATTCAAATCCTTTGCATGTGCTGATGGCTGGGTAGATAATTAATTATAGTCCCTTTAGCGAAAATTTCTAGAAAATATTTGTTCGATATTTCAAACTTTTATTGTATCCTCTTCATTTTTGCAATAATTTATAACCTCAAGGCCTCGAACAAACTTAACAACTATTTTGTTTGTAAGCTAGTATTAAACTTTTTTATTCTTTTGCTCACCATCCTAATCACACTTATCTACTTCCATTTGCACCTCCTGTATTCCTTTTGACCATTTTAACAGATTCTTATAATTACTTCCTTTTCCATATTTGGTTTTAATTATTCTTTCCTTTTCGGTTGACACACTCATTCATTTTGGAGGCTGCGTGATTTTTTTTTCTCTCATATCTTACTACAGGCATAGATAGTCTCTCTTTTTCCACAGCAGTCTAAACTGTTGACTGCTTACTTGCAGGCATTTGGCACTATAACACCACTGGCTACATTATTTGATGCCAGTCTTTGTTGTAAAAAAAGGCACAATTTTAAAATTGTTTTAAATGTTTTTCAATTATAATGATTATGCTGTGGTTAAGAGCAGAAAAACCTTTGTGGCATGTCGATAATGATCTACACATTGTCCTTATACCTGTGGAGTGCTGTTATTACAACAGCATATAATGAAATGATTTCTGAGTGGAAGTGGTTCACATATTATTGTTAATATAGCAATTTAAATGAAACCTTGCACTCACATAGCAAAGTTTAAAACAGTTTAACATTCTCAGGTCTGAAAGCTGAATCAGGACTCAAGACATTAACATAGTTCTGCCTTAGGAATTTGACAATGTTTGAACTTCTGAGGTTTAGTCCATAATTATGTTCAGGAAAATAATCATCTGTTGCATGTTCAATTTTGCTAGTTAGAAACAGACCAGTTCCTACCATATCATTCCTATGTCAAGCTTTGTATTTCATTAAATACCTAACTGCTTCTATTGAATACATATGTCAATTAAAGTACATTGAGCGATTTTAGTGCATTTGGTTCCTAAATTTTTTTGTTTTATCAATAAAACTCTGTAGTAATTTCAACAATTTGTTTTAACTAAGGAAACATTTGAAATGAAGACTGACTGCCAGAAACTATGATAACATGAATTAACTGTTGTATTTTCTGAACAAAATTATTCTGATTACAGTCTTGTCATTTTACATATACTTGCCAATACTTGGGCACTACATTACATAAGGATTTACAATATAGACTATTCAGTCCAACAAACCTATGTCAATAATATGAGAGAAGATGCCTGTAGACCATGTTAATTAATTTCACCATGTCAGTGAAATAATTCTATAGACGCAGGTATCCCGTCAACAATTCACCCTTTATTTACTCGTGCATAGTATTTGACACTGGTCTGACTTCCTCAGAGCCAGCTCTCAAGTGAACAGAACCTACGAATTTCTGATGAAGGGCCTAGGCCCGAAACGTCAGCCTTTCTGCTCCTATGATGCTGCTTGGCCTGCTGTGTTCATCCAGCTCTGCACCTTGTTGTCTCAGAACCTACGACACTCCTGTTTATGTTTGTCAGCCAGGGCTCCCTGATTAGACCAGATTAGACCAGATTAATAGCCCCAATCAGGGAACTCATATTCTATGAGGCCCACCTGGCTGACCTCGTTATAATCACTACAGTCAGCATATTCTTCCATTCCTTTCTTCATCATGTACAAATTTAACTTCTCTTAAATGCATCTGTTCTCACCATTTCAATCATCCATAAAGTAGCAAGTTCCAGATTCTCTATAAGTAAAAGGTTTTGTTCTGAATTCCTTACTTTAATTATTAGTAGTTGTCTTACATTTATGGTCCCTAGTTTTGCCTCCTTGTAAGTGGAATAATCTTGGGGATGAAATTGATTTATGTCAGCAAATGAAACAAGCCAGCATATTTAATTTCAAATCAAGTAACATACGCAGTGAGACTGGAAAATACACAAGAACATACAGTTTGGGAGTAGGAGTAAGCCGTTTGGCACTTCAAGGTTGTTTCACCATTCAGTAAAATCAGGCTGTTTGTGGGCTCAACTCCACATTACAACAACTCCCAAATAATTCTTGATTCCATTGTTAGTCAAATATCTGACTACCTCTACCTTAAAAATATACAATGACTCTGTCTCTGCTACTGCTATTTGGGAAATGTTTCACAGGCTCGTGACATTCTGAGGGGACAAAAAAAAGTTTTCCGCTCTGTCTTAAAATTCACCCCAAATTTTTAAATTGTGTTGGCTAGTTCCAGTTTATCCCACTGGGGAATACATACATGTATTTATATTTATTAATAAGATTATTTCTCATTCTTGTAAACTCCACAAATATTGGCCCAAACTGTGCACCCTTTCCCCATAAACCCCCTTTCCCTTCCACATGCTCCTCCCATCCCAGGTATCAGTCAAGTGAATCCATCCAAATTACCTTTAACACGTTTGTAGACTTTTATTTCCAAAAAAGGACAGTAAAACTACATACAGCATTTCAAGTCCGATTTCACCAGTCTTCTGTACCACTGTAGCAAACCATCTCCACTTTTATATTTCTTTTCCATTTTAAAAAAATTATCCAAAAGGCCTGGGAACTACTGCTCTATGAACTTCAGTGCAAAGAAGATCAAGTGCCATTTACATTTCTGACGTTGACCAGAATCAGAGTCAAGTGTTGAATCAAGAGCTCCGACAGGTTCCATCTTTTCTGTTCATTCTGATATCATCCTTGTCAAACCTGTCCTTTGCCAGTGTAAACATTCTTTGATCATGACCTTCCAAACATATGACCTCTATCACCTGGAAGGACAAGAGCAGCCAGCATGTGGGAAAACCAAGTGGACAGCGAAGAAGGTTACCTCAGAGAACAACAGGACCTTGATTGTATGGGCAAATGGGCCAAGGAGTGGCAGATTGAGTTTAATTTAGATAAATGGAAGGTGCTGCATTTTGGTAGGGCAAATCACGGCAGAACTTCTTCATTTAATGTTAAGGTCTTGGGAGTGTTGCCGAACAAAGAGACCTTAGCGTGCAGGTTTACAATTCCTTTAAAATGGAGTTGTAGGTAGACACGGTAGTGAAGACGACGTTTGGTACGCTTGCCTTTATTGGTCAGTGCGTTGAGTATAGGAGTTGAGATGTCATGTTGCAGCTGTACAGGACATTGGTTAGTCCACTTTTGGAATACTGTGTTCAAGTCTGGTCTCCCTGCTATAGGAAGGATGTTGTGAAACTTGAAAAGGTTCAGAAAAGATTTACAAGGATGTTGCCAGGGTTGGAGGATTTGAGCTATAGGGAGAGGCTGAATAGGCTGTGGCTATTTTCACTGGAGCATCTAAGGTCGAGGAGTGATCTTATAAGAGGTTTTAGAAAATCATGAGGGGCATGGATGTGGTGAAAAGCCAAGGTCTTTTCCCCAGGGTAAGTGATTCAAAAACTAGATGACTTAGATTTAAAGGTGAGAGGGAAAAGATTTAAAAGGGACCTAAGGGGCAACTTTTTCACGCAGAAGGTGGTGTGTATATTGAAGGAAGTGCCAGAGGAGGTGGCAGAGACTGGTGTAATTACAACATTTAAAAGGCATCTGGATGAGTACATGAATAGGAAGGGTTGAGGGAAATTGAGCCAAATACTGGCAAATGGGACTAGATTAATTTAGAATCCGGTCAGCATGGACAGGTTTGACCAGAGGGTCTGTTTCCATGCTGTTCATCACCATGAACCTCTCTTTTCAAGTTCCCCTCGAAAGTACATGCCATCCTGACTTCAGAATATTCACCATACTTTCACTGTCACTTGATCAAAATCCTGAAATTCTGTCATTAACAGTACATTGGGTGTCTAACCAAAAATGAATTTAAGAATATTTTTCTTACATGTAAAGGGGAACTGGACAAAGTAACCCTACTGTGATTTAACCTCATTCCAATGCAGGTTTAACATAACTTTTTAAAAAATTTTATCCCTTGAGAAATTAGCAAAGTAACCACTGCTTTGTTATCCTGCATTCTTAATTTTATTGATTTGCTAATTTTACCCTTAAGTCATTTTGTTCTGTTAGCCCATTTAAATGGTAATTTTTTGAGGAGTTAGTGGCCTTTTTGCCCCCTCCAAACAAATGCAATAACATTTTCTACATTGAAATTGATTTGCCATTTACATGGCTATTTGGCAAGTTTGTTAATATTTTCAGGTATTTTGTCAGTCTTCCACAGTATTAATGGCACACCACAACGTAACTCATACTTCCAAAAAGTCCAATTCCCAAGTCTGAATTGTTTAAGGAAATGAAGAACAATTTTGGTCATTTGAAGTCCTGTGTAAGGCCACTTCCTGCCTTCCACAGGTCTGTTTTCTGCTTTGCTGCCAGTTTGCTATCCATTCTGCTGCTTGGCCCTGACCTCTACATGATTTGATCTTATACATGAATCAATTATGTGGCAACACAATTGGTACGGTGAACAAATAATCGTAAAACTAATAGTTTATTCTCATAAGATAGCAAACATTATGATAGCATGCTTCTCTAATTGCTGAAAATGCCAAGTATTCTCTACAAGATTCTTTGGGAAATACATACTCAAAATGTTAACATTTAATAGGATTGAAAAACATAAGTGTGTAAAACAAAGAATTAACATCATAGAAAAACTATGTTCTATTTATTTTCAGTATTCAGCAATACATTTTGTTTTAACAGATCTTATTGAGACAAGACAGTAACGTAGATTAGGTACAAATAAATCTAACAGCATTACATGGTTAACCAGGTTATCAAGCGATGGCAATTAGGTATAATAGTAACGACATACTCAAATGAAGCGTAAAATGGATTTTGTTTCATTGAAAGATAAGTGTACGCGTGACAGCAAGAATACATTTGAAAAAATCGTTACAGAAATCTGTTGTAAACTAAGTTTCAGTAAGTATATATATCTGCTATACTGTCACTCTCTATAGAATATAATTATTTACCTCTTGAAGTTCGTCGATTCTTTTCTGCAGTAAGGGCAGTAAATTTGCATCGTCCCATAAAATCTCCCGCACTGCTTGCAATGAAAAGCTTCCTTTTTGATTTTCCAACAGCTTTACTCTATCTTGCAACCTCGCAGTTTTAACATTTAGAAACAGGCAAAACACAACAGAAATGACTGATAACAGTAAGCTGACTACTGTTGTCAGTGTCCTTAAGCATAATGTAGGATTTGATGTTGGCATCATTTCTTTCTTACTTTTCCCAGCCTTAGGTGACTGATCATTCTTGCCCATCTTACAAAACTTGGCAACGCCAGTTGCAAAGGCGAATGTTTTATTAGCGTTAAAAAACCAACCAAAATTAAACAAATTTTGTTGAAAACAAAGCAATCCGGGATTGCAAAAAACCTGCAATCTCAAGTTTTTCACACACCGCGTAAATTCCTCACAGTTGCTTCCCTGTTCTATTTCGGCGTTGCTGTCGTTTATATTCTCCCCCGTTCATTAAATCCACTAATGCAGTATTTAAAACATAAAAAGTTTTGAATTGTGAATCAAGTCCCAACAATGAACGACATGCCTGTGATTAGCCAACGTTTAAAGTAAATGCTGCAATAGATTCCCCACCACTATTTCCCTCTTCCAGACCTTGGATATTTACTTATGCAAAGCCGACTGACGTGACCCCGCCCACGCTACACTAAACAGGAAACCACATGAAAACCACAATCATTATAAAAACGTCGAGCAACTTTAAAGAGACAATACAAAATAGAATATTCGGGACCCATTACGTACAACAAACAGCTGAGCCCAAAGTATCTTTAATTTTCTAACTAAAAACAATAATAAACGGTAATGCGTAATGATGAAAGATAGTGCCAGATCATCCATTTTTAAACATCACCAAATACATGACATCTCTCACATTGTGACGATAATTAAACTCACAATAAATAACTAAGGGAGCATGTGCTGCTCAGGCGTAGGCTTTGACTTGGGATACATCGAAATATTTATTTGTACCATTGCGAAGTCAGTAAGAAACACGGGAAAATACAACCTTGAAGGCTACCAAGAATAGCTGGCTCCAATAGCTGATATTCAATGTACATTTGATGATTTGGGTCTCCTGGTTATTTTGTTGTCTTTCTATCGCCCTCCGGCGGCCAGTTGGCGAGATTGAGGGTGGAGACCGACGTTTTGCCCTATTCTGCCTAAGTTGGAGACTTGGGAGGATCCAGACTTATTTAGCCCAGCAGTATCTCGGGAAAAGTTAAAGGAATTAAAACCTGCTCTAATTCCTGATTAACTATAAAATTGATACCACAGACGAAGGACGCATTTCCACCTTCTCACCCATTTACCTACTATCTAAAACCCACCCACCGACAACCTACCCGACCACTCATACAACCAACAAACAGCCTTACTACGTTACGCACTGGACGTTTTACCTCCAGGAAAAATAATAGTTATTGTATCTTTTAAGACGGCTTCTGCAAAGATTGGCTCCAGGGATTCCAGCAGAGCTTGCAGGACTGCATCTGTTGCGATGGATCCTGCACCAGAAATCCAGCCGGAATAAGAATCTTTGGAAGGTGTATGGTTAATGAGTAGCCTTTTTGTCTGATTAGGATCCACTAGGCACAATTCAGTAATGTGATGGAACATTCTTGACTTGCCTTGATTACGATGTTTCCAACAACACATGAGAGGCTCAAAACCATTCGGGAGATCATCCACCATTTTAAACATTTACTCCTTCCACCACCAACACAGTAACAGCAGTGTTTGCTAATGGTACAGCAGTGCACGACCAACACCTTCCACCTCTAGGTCAGAGACAATAAACATAGAGTATCACCTTGCCCTCTTACATCATTATAGTTCCGTCCCTGTCACTAGCTGCTGAGCACTTCCAGCATTTTCTGTTTCTTTTGCTCAACACCCGTTTTTTAAAGATTAATTCAGGAGATATTGGCATCACTGGCTAGGCCTGCATTCACTGCTCATCTATAAGTGGCTTTGTAATAGTGTAGCAAGCTGTCTTTTTAAACCACTGCACCCACCATGATATATAGGTACGTCCTACTGTTCCAAAAGGGATGGCTTTGGGTTCTAAGGGTATGAAATTACTTGATGCAGAATTCCCAACCCCTGATCTGCATTTTTAACCACAGTACATGTGGCTGGTCCAGTTAATAAAGACCTAAAGAACTGCAGATGCTGTAAATCAGGAACAAAAACAGAAGTTGCTGGAAAAGCTCAGTAGGTCTGGCAGCATCTATGAAGGAAAATCAGAGTTAATGTTTCAGGTCCAGTGACTCTCCCTCAGAACTGAGTTCACTGGACCTGAAACATTAACTCTGATTTTCCTTCACAAATGCTGCCGGACCTGCCGATCTTTTCCAGCAACTTCTGTTTTTTGGTCCAGTTAATTGTGTTACGTGCTTTAAAATACTGCAGTATTACTTATTGTAATATTAATTCACGTTTAAGCTCTAAATCACACTGGAAATTCTGGTGTTAACCCTCACAGTCAACAAAAATTACGCCCAAGCGAACTATTGCAAAGGCAACAAAGTGCAGGGCTGGATGAACACAGCAGGCCAAGCAGCATCATAGGAGCAGAAAGGCTGACGTTTCAGGCCTAGACCCTTCATCAGAAAAGGGGGAGGGGAAGGGGGTTCTGAA